AGAAAATGCCTGAAAGGTTTTCTTAAAAAATATTTTATACCTACTTAAGTAATCGTAGAAAATTAAATAGGTACTACAAAAAAAGTATTTTGAAAATACGTATTTTACATTTACAATGTAAAAGGGAAATCTATTTTATATCTTACATTTGAAATAACAAATCAAAAAAGTATTTGCATTTTGTATTTAAATACTTCTACATCTCTAATGGTAATACTTTCTTAGAAGAAAAGCAAAACAGGATTAGATGTACCTATTTTTTTTACACCTCACATTTGTACTTTTGAAGATTTCTTTGTGTTATTAACAGGCCAAAAAACAAACAAAAAAGACTCACCATCTTTTAACGAACATTTCAGTAAAAGATAATAACTTTTTTTATCTGCTACATGACTAAATTCCTTCTCCTAGATGTAAGGCGAAGTAGCACGGTGACATTTTATTTTTTTTATAAAGTTCTTAAAAAAAATGCGCTTCAATGGAGCAAATTAAAAAGTGTTTGGAAAAGAAATTTTGATGATTAAAAACTTTTTTTCATGTTTTAATACTACTTTTTCGTTTATAACAAGTAATAACTTATCAAAGCTGAAAGTTAAATTTTACATACATATAATCTGAAATACCATTCAAATGGAAATTCGTTGTATAAAAGAGTACAAAATTTCCCAAACGCTACCTTCGCCTTAAAGTTTTCCCCCCTTTAAGTTTAAAAAAAGCGCAGCCCGGCGTAACAACTCACCCCTGTATCGGTTCAAAGGCAAGCCACTAAATAATTCAAAGAACAAGGAGAATAATCCGTTAAGACTGCTGGAAAATCGGGAAAACAACACCTTCGAGTGTAGGTACCTTGGCACTTTTCCAATTGTAACAACTGCCAACTGCGAACAAAAAAAAAGAAGGACGACAAACTGGAAAGGCACGCGACCCTGAACTGAACACGAACGCGAAACAGAATTTAACGGACGGACGTTACACAGAAGCTACTTAACACTGCATAAGGCAGCAGCTGACAGACACACCAGGTGTATTGAGGTGTATTCTGGTTCGTGGGTATAGTCACCGGAGTATTTCTTCAATAACGGTCAGAGGGGGGGACTCAATAGCATTGTCTTACATATAATAATGCACAAGTGGACCTTGTTGGAGCATACGTAATCCTAAAATGTAGCATCGTACTACAGATGGCGTTTACCGCGCCATTTGTGGTATTTTCTCAATCAGTTATGATGGTTGAATTGCAGAACATACGTACATACAAATTTTTAAAATATTTAGATTAGATTACTGTTCAGAAATAATTAAGCAAAGTAAAAATATAATTTGTTTACACACACATATAAGCAAAATTATCTTTTTTCTAAAGACGCTTTTGTTTTCTTTTTTTCAAGGATTTCTTATTGTTCCAAAATGATCATACTTCGTAACTGTATTGATTGATTTTAAAAACGTATTCTGTATGCCTAAATAAATCTCATTACCTTCCTACTCCATACATGATTATTGTTTTCTAGAAATGTCACTGAAATTCCTTGAAAGATAAGGGTAACATTTTACTACGTCAAATTGTTCCTTCTTATCATAATACAAATCGGCAACTGATTGACGCGAAAACCTTGGTTACTTACATATTCCTTTCAAACGGAAAAATATAAAATCCCTTGTAGGTCATACACGTTTCGGAATCGAACGTAATACAAATGGAACTTGTCAACTTGTCAACTTCAAATCGGAATCGCCCAGTGAGAGTTTTATATAGGGAAAAGCCTTAAGAAATATATATGCAATACATACAGTAAAAAATTTAAATCATGATCAGAAAAATTAGAAATTATTTGTTGTCAATAGGGAAAGATATGGGAAATTAAATGTTAATTCTAGACTAATGTGCAGGAATTTTTGGGACCTGGACTATTTTATAAAGTGTGATGTAAGAAAACATGAATGCGACTCGTAACTTTTGGTTATTAGACATTCNCTTCTGAAGATTTCCCCTCTTCCACGAAAACAAAAAAAAAAATCTAGTGTTAGGGAAATGCGAAGTAAAGCTCAGGATAGGAAAGAGTGGAGGTACGTGTCCAACCAGTCTTAGGACTGACGACCTTATGATGATGATGAATCTAATCCAGAACTACCTCTGAACTGTTGTTTATTCTAATATTAGCGTTGCAATAGACCTTTGCATCCGCTTCCGCAATTACGGAAAAGTTACGTTTCGTCTACATGTCCGTTATCGATCACTAGATTCAGAGATTTCTGATTTTAATTAATATCTTTTGCTATATTATTTTTAAGGTTTCCATGGTACGGAATCCTGAGTTTTCTGAACGTTGTGTTTACCTGCACCATAATCCCCAAAAAAAATAAATGGTACGTGCACTTTTTCCTAAAGTAGTGTTGCAATAAACCTCTGCTTCCGCATCCGCAATTCATTTTCTCATATGCTTCTGCATCTGGTTCCGCATTTTTATAACGGAAGCTTATCGGAACTTAACAATTTTTGAAAATAAATATATCAGAATAATGAAACAAGTAGTAAAAAATTATTACTTTTATCTGATGGTTAAACTGNGAAATGCGAAGTTTAGCTCAGGATAGGAAAGAGTGGAGGTACGTGTCCAACCAGTCTTAGGACTGACGACCTTATGATGATGATGATGAATCTAATCTAGAACTACCTCTGAACTGTTGTTTACTCTAATATTAGTGTTGCAATAGACCTCTGCTTCCGCTTCCGCAATTCATTTTCACATATGCTTCTGCATCTGGTTCCGCATGTTTATAACTGAAGCTTATCGGAACTTAACAAAATCTTACTTCTCATCTTTTTGAAAGTAAATAAATCAAAATAATGATACAAGTCGTAAAAAAATATTACTTTTATCTGTTGGTTGAACTTGGCCGTTTTCAAAACACAATTTAAATGAAATTGCTCGTTGCAAAGCTGGACGCCAACTTTCAGCGACCCCTCTGTAACATTGTAACGTATTATTATCAACCGTTTATGTTTATGACCGTATTAGCGTCAATGCTGCGTTATAGCCGGCAAAATTTTAGTTAATAATAAATTTGTCCTTGTGCAATTAGCTATTATAGTTTAGGGCCCAACTCTATTTCCTAATATTTTTCGTATGTTGATGTTTTCCAAATTTCATTCTTTGATTACATACTTTCTTATTTTTCAGTTCCCTTTTAGCCGGTTCTCGTAACAATTTCATTTCGAAAATACTTATATAGTTATAGCGTTTATTTATTATGTATAGCGTTTAGTCAGTGGTGTAAATTTTAAGTTAAAAGTGTAATATTGAAGTCAAAAAGAAATTCCATTTGCGATTATTTTGTTGATATTAACGATGCAAGTGTTAAATGCAATATTTGTAATAAAATATTAGCGAAAAGGGCGTACGACCACTGCATCAAAAAGTCATCTAAAATTATTACACTTCCGCTTCCACATCCGCTTTCGCAAAAATTTACTATGTACTTCTCTTTCCGCTGATGTTTTTATGACACTTCCATAACTTCGCTATCCAATATGTCTCTAACTAGCCCTTCGTGTCTGAGAAGGCGTCCTACCAACCCATCTCGCCTATTTCTTATTGACTTCCAAAGCACCCTTCGTTTTCCCACTCATTTCTAATCTTCTCTATCCAGGGTATTCTCATCATACGCCTGTAAGGCCACATTTCAAACGCTTCTAACCTTTTCTATTTCGCCTCCACCACCGTTCACGTTTCGCACCCGTACAGAGCCGCGCTCCAGACATATACCGTTAACAATATTTTTCGAATTTCTAAATTAATCTTTCGTGAACATAGAAGTTACTTCTTTTTGATAAATGCAATTCTACTTTGCTTTATATCTCTATTGCTNTGTTAAATGCAAAATTTGTAATAAAATATTAGCGAAAAGGGCATACGACCACTGCATTAAAAAGTCATCTAAAATTATTACACTTCCGCTTCCACATCCGCTTTCGCAAAAATTTACTATTTACTTCTGTTTCCGCTGATGTTTCCGTTATGACACTTCCATAACTTCGCTATCCAATATGTCTCTAACCAGCCCTTCGTGTCTGAGAAGGCGTCCTACCAACCCATCTCGACTATTTCTTATTGACTTCCAAAGCACCCTTCGTTTTCCCACTCTTTCTAATATCTCCTCATTTCTAATCTTCTCTATCCAAGGTATTCTCATCATTCGCCTGTAAGGCCACATTTCAAACGCTTCTAATCGTTTCTATTTCGCATCCACCACCGTTCACGTTTCGCACCCATACAGAGCCGCGCCCCAGACATTTACCATTAACAATATTTTTCGAATTTCTAAATTAATCTTTCGTGAACATAGAAGTTACTTCTTTTTGATAAATGCAATTCTACTTTGCTTTATATCTCTATTGCTGCTTCAATTCCGAGTTATCTAACTTTCTAGATACTGAAAGAAAGCTACGAAGTAAAAATATAATTTGTTTACACACACATATAAGCAAAATTATCTTTTTTCTAAAGACGCTTTTGTTTTCTTTTTTTCAAGGATTTCTTATTGTTCCAAAATGATCATACTTCGTAACTGTATTGATTGATTTTAAAAACGTATTCTGTATGCCTAAATAAATCTCATTACCTTCCTACTCCATACATGATTATTGTTTTCAAGAAATGTCACTGAAATTCCTTGAAAGATAAGGGTAACATTTTACTACGTCAAATTGTTCCTTCTTATCATAATACAAATCGGCAACTGATTGACGCGAAAACCTTGGTTACTTACATATTCCTTTCAAACGGAAAAATATAAAATCCCTTGTAGGTCATACACGTTTCGGAATCGAACGTAATACAAATGGAACTTGTCAACTTGTCAACTTCAAATCGGAATCGCCCAGTGAGAGTTTTATATAGGGAAAAGCCTTAAGAAATATATATGCAATACATACAGTAAAAAATTTAAATCATGATCAGAAAAATTAGAAATTATTTGTTGTCAATAGGGAAAGATATGGGAAATTAAATGTTAATTCTAGACTAATGTGCAGGAATTTTTGGGACCTGGACTATTTTATAAAGTGTGATGTAAGAAAACATGAATGCGACTCGTAACTTTTGNACATTTCAAACGCTTCTAACCTTTTCTATTTCGCCTCCACCACCGTTCACGTTTCGCACCCGTACAGAGCCGCGCTCCAGACATATACCGTTAACAATATTTTTCGAATTTCTAAATTAATCTTTCGTGAACATAGAAGTTACTTCTTTTTGATAAATGCAATTCTACTTTGCTTTATATCTCTATTGCTGCTTCAATTCCGAGTTATCTAACTTTCTAGATACTGAAAGAAAGCTACGAAGTAAAAATATAATTTGTTTACACACACATATAAGCAAAATTATCTTTTTTCTAAAGACGCTTTTGTTTTCTTTTTTTCAAGGATTTCTTATTGTTCCAAAATGATCATACTTCGTAACTGTATTGATTGATTTTAAAAACGTATTCTGTATGCCTAAATAAATCTCATTACCTTCCTACTCCATACATGATTATTGTTTTCAAGAAATGTCACTGAAATTCCTTGAAAGATAAGGGTAACTTTTTACTACGTCAAACTGTTCCTTCTTATCATAATACAAATCGGCAACTGATTGACGCGAAAACCTTGGTTACTTACATATTCCTTTCAAACGGAAAAATATAAAATCCCTTGTAGGTCATACACGTTTCGGAATCGAACGTAATACAAATGGAACTTGTCAACTTGTCAACTTCAAATCGGAATCGCCCAGTGAGAGTTTTATATAGGGAAAAGCCTTAAGAAATATATATGCAATACATACAGTAAAAAATTTAAATCATGATCAGAAAAATTAGAAATTATTTTTTGTCAATAGGGAAAGGTATGGGAAATTAAATGTTAATTCTAGACTAATGTGCAGGAATTTTTGGGACCTGGACTATTTTATAAAGGGTGATGTAAGAAAACATGAATGCGACTCGTAACTTTTGGTTATTAGACATTCTTTTTTTGGAAAATATC